TGAGCATGTGCATGAATATCTTAATAGATATATAAACAGACCAATATCCAGCTGTGGATATAGACAGACCCTTTATATTCACCTCCATTAAAAAAAAAGAAAAAAAAAAGACTTAGAACCAACACATAACTAAGTCGACTATCTACTTACATAAAAAGACATTACATTACAACTCAGAACCAACACATAAATACGACGACTATCTATCAGAACCAACACATAACTAAGACGACTATCTACTTATCTAATTTCTAGGCTTCGTCACAACAACACAGGTGACTCACGGTACGCCGGCAGGCCTATATGCCAAATCTCCAAACCGGAAGTGGCAGTGTGACACGGCAGTCAAGAAGGCCGGACCATCTGCAGTTGCATGCAAGGACATCGCGAGACAGCTGGTTGAAGACGAACCAGCTAAGAATATGAAAGCGAGTAGTGGCATTTAAATTTTGGTGTTTGGGTTCTTGTCTTGTTTGTTTGTAAATTATTTTTAATTATATGATTTTATTTGTGATTGGTTTTGCATGTTTGGATTTAGTTGTCTCTTTATTATTTTTTTAAAAGTCGATTATAATGTGTAAACTTTCGATTGATCTAGCGTGTTCATTAATAATTGACTGCATTCACTTAAAAAATAATATATGGGATCTGACTTTTGAGTATTAATGATGAATGGACATTTCTTTATATACAGTATAGATTTGTTGTCTCTTGTTCACTCATTTTGATTTGTTTTCTTTATATTAATCTATTTCGGTCGTTGTACTTTTTTATATACTGTATATATTTTTATTTGTTTACTATCTTTCTTTTCATCATTATTTTTCACTATTTTCATTATTATTATTATTGTTATCATTGTTATTATTATTATAATCATTCTTGATATCATCGTTTTTATCTTCATTATCATTCTTGTTACTATCAACATAATCATAAACATAATTAGTACCACCATCACACTCATCACTATCTTTACCACCGTTATCATCACCATACCAATACCCATCTCACTACCTCATCACCATCGCCATCGATACCTCATCCTCCTCTTCATCATCCTACTCCAACCGCCCTCACGTCCTCACGCCCTCACGCCCCAACCTCCTCCTCCTCCTCCTATCTCCAACCGCCCCCACGCCCCCAAACAGGTGATCATGGGCGGCGGGAGGGAGGAGATGGGCGCGGACACGACCTCCTCCAGAGCCCACACGAAGCAGGAGTGCGTGAGGGGCGACGGGAGGAACCTGGCGAAGGAGTGGCGAGAGGAGAAGAGGTCGAGGGGGAGGAGCCACGCCTACGTCACGACCACCGGCGAGCTGCGGCAGGTTGAGGTCGAGAAGACGGAGTTCCTGATGGGTGAGAGGAAGGGAAGGGAAGGAGAGGGCGAGAGAGAGAGAGAAAGAAGAGGGGAAGAGGGAGAGAGAAGAGAGAGGGGGAGAGGGGGGGGGAGGGGAGAGGATGGGAAGGGAAGGGAGGAGAGGGAGAGAGAGGGTGGGGTAGAGGGGGAGGGAGGGAGGAGAGAGAGAGAGAGAGAGAGAGAGAGAGAGAGAGAGAGAGAGAGAGAGAGAGAGAGAGAGAGAGAGAGAGAGAGAGAGAGAGAGAGAGAGAGAGAGAGAGAAAGGGAAAGAAAGAGAAAGAGACAGAGAGAGAAAGAAAGAGAGAAAGAGACAGAGAGAGAAAAGAAAAGAGAGAAAGAGACGAGAAAAAGAGAGAAAGAGATAGAGAGAGAAAGAGAGAAAGAGACAGAGAGAAAGAAAGAGAGAAAGAGACAGAGAGAGAAAGAGAGAGAGAGAATGATGTATAAATATAAACACAAATAGAACAAGACCTCGTAGACATAAGGCAGACAGACAGACACGGTATTCACACAGACAAAGAGAGACAGAAGAGACGAACGCCGCACACCCACAGACACAGAGTTCTCACGCCCACACTCAGATTCATGATGAGGCCTAGGGGGAGAGGGGGGCCCTCTCCCCCTAGGCCTCTTCGCTGACCTCCACATGCCCTTCGAGGTCGACCGGAACACGAGCCTGGACGGAACCCCTGACCTGAGGGAAATGACCTCGGCTGCGATGAGGAGGTTAAGGAGGAGTGAAAAGGGGTTCTTTCTCCTGGTATGTTTGTTTTTGTTTGTTTTTTGCATCTCTCTGTCTCTTTATCTCTATTTCTCTCTCTCTCTCTCTCTCTCTCTCTCTCTCTCTCTCTCTCTCTCTTTCTCTCTCTCTCTCTCTTTTTCTTTTTGTATCTTTGATTTGTTTGATATTTTTTTTCAGTCTGTGTAAGTTTTTTTAATCGGTTATTAAATCATTAATTGCTTTTGTTTTTGTTTTCATCCTCAACCTCCATCCTCCTCCTCCTCCTCCACCTCACCTCTCCTCCTCCTCCTCTCCTCCTCCACCTCCACTCCACCTCCACCTCACTCCACTCCACCTCCCTCCTCCTCCTCCTCCTCCTCCACTCCACCTCACCTCCACCTTCACCACACACTCCCTCCACCTCTCTCCTCCTCCACCACCACCTTCCGCTCCTCCTGCAGGTGGAGTCCGGCAGAATCGACCACGGACTCCACTACAGCCAACCCCGACGCGCCCTTGAGGAGATCCTGGCCATGGAGGAGGCGCTGAAGGAGACACTGGACTTGGTGGACTTAAACGACACTCTGGTCCTCGTGACAGCCGACCACTCGCATGTCATGACGATAAACGGTTATCCCAGAAGAGGGAATGACATTTTGGGTAAGTCATGTCTCTTTTTTTGTGACGATAAATAACTTCAAAGGATAAGTGAATAGATTAAATCATGGAAATGACATAGTCAAGTTATGAATCAAAATAAGTGAATAGATTAGATAACTGAAATGATATAGGTAAATCACTTTTTTTTATGGCGACCAATAATTTCAGTTGTGTAACATCAATAGATTGAATAATCATAATGACACATGAGGTAAGTTCCGGACTTTTTTATGACAACGAATAACTTCAAATGACAAGTAAATGATGAATAACAGATCAAATAACTGAAATCAGCACATTAGACAATTAGTTAATTTTTTTTTATGAGAGCGAATAACTTCAGATAAATAACTTCAAAGGATGACAAGTAAGTTATAGATTAAGCGATTAAGTTACGGAGTTTTTATGACGACGAATAGTAAATAATAAATAGTTTATTAGATATATAAAATATAATTTTGGTTTTGAGTGACGGGTACAAGAGGCTTCAGTTTGTAGCAGATAAAATTCGGAAGCCTTGTCTGTGCACTGTCTTTGGAAAATAAAGGTGATAATTGTATCCTATACGATGATAGACGTAGGAAAAAAATAATCACATTGTTCTTAAATTTGATAAACTTATTTTCTCTATTTTATAAACCTATTCGCTAGAAAACTGAATTATTTTCTTTCAATCTATCACACTCTAAGGGGATGAGGAAGCAGATGAAGAAGAAGAAGAGAAAGAAAGAAAGAGAAAAAAAAGATAAAGAAAAAAAATAAGAAAGAGAAAGAAAAAAATAAAAAAAGAAGAGAAAGAGAAAGAAAAAAAGAAGAGAGAAAAAAAAGAAAGAGAAAGAACAAAATAAACAGAGAAAGAAAAAAATAAGAAAAAAAGAAGAGAAAGAGAAAAAATATAAGAAGAGAAAAAAATAGAAAAAAAAATGAATAAAAAGAAGAAAGATAGTCTTTTACTTGAATATTTACATAGGACATTTAAAACCCTTTTTTTGTCTTCTTTAATCAGGTTTAGTTAATTACGAAAAAGTGACGGATGGGCTTCCCTTTACAACGCTCATGTTCACCAACGGCTTCGGTTTCAATTACACTTGGAATGGAGAAAAGGTGGGATGCCATTACGTTTTTTTTTTTTTTTTTTTTGGGGGGGGTGTTTATATTTGTAATTATCATTATTATTGCTATTACTGTTGTTGTTGTCGTTGTTATTATCATTAATATAATTATTATTTTTTCATTATCATCATCATCTTGTAATTATTATTATTACTGCTGTTACTGTAGTTGCTAAGTTGTTGTTATTATCATTAATATCATTAATGTTATTAGTATTATTGTTTTCATTATCATCATCATCGTCATCATCATCAATATTTTTATCACTGCCTTTTGTTTTATCTTTGTTATCAATATTATTGTATTATGATATACTGAGACGACAGTAGCTATATATGTATAGGTATGTACAAGTATAGCTGTTTACTGAACACACACACATACAAACACATGCAAAACTCCCAACACTCACTCACTCACTCACACACACACACACACACACACACACACACACACACACACACACACACACACACAACACCACACACACTCACTCACACACACACTCACACACACCTCACCCACACACACTCACACACTCACCCCCCACACACTCACTCACCCCCCCCCACACACACTCACCCCCCACACACCACTCACCCCCCCACACACACACTCACTCACCCCCCCACACACACACTCACCCACCCCCCCCACACACCCCCCACACACACACACCCACCCCCACACACACACACACCCCCCCCCACACACACACACACCACACACACACACACTCACCCCACACACACACTCACCCCCTACACACACACTCACCCCACCCACACAACCCCAAACCTCCCAAACGACCCACTGATAACCGTCCCTCCTTGCCCTCCGACACAGGTAGTCCGGCCAAACCTCACGGCATAGACACGGCTAGCAAGGACTACGTAGCCCTCGCTGGTGTAGCTACGAGGAAGAGATCCGAGACTCACAGGGGGAGGACGTAGCTGTCTATGCCGTGGGTAAGGTAGGGGGGGCGGGTTTGGGGGGGGGGGGGTAGTTGAGAGGCAAAAGTGGGGTGGGGGAAGAGGGTGGCGAGATTTGGGAGGGGGGAGGGAGATGTGGGGAGGATGGAGGTAGATGTGGGGAGGGAGGGAAGTAGGTTTGGGAGGGGGGAGGTAGGGGGAGGGGTAGATTTGG